GTGGTAGGTGTATTTGATATTGTAAAAGCAAGCCCAAAGTAGGTAAAAATTGATACCACCGAAATCCAAAAACTATATATGAACAGCAGTACGATGCCGTTTAAGAAATAGTGCCGCATACAAATGTGTATCATCCTACTAAATTGCTTGTTAGTAAATTCATCCTTCCAGGATATTCGTAAAATTAATTCCGCGGGACAAAAAGGACACTTCAGTACTTGCATAAATGGAGTGAAGTTGTCACTTTGTCTCGGAAGTACGAATAGATATTTATACCGCAGAAAGGAAGATTTTCCCGTGGCGCATTGCAAATACGGAAAGCTTGAAAAAACGTTTTTTTTATAACGGGCGATCAAAAATTGAGTTTGCGTCGAGTCGCCTTTTGAAGTTCAAGTGACAGTATGATTTTCCCATGGTAAAACAAAAATTCCAAGTGATCGACAGCAACTCATTTTTATGATCGCATTGTATTGGTCGGTTTGTTATTGTACGTGTTTTGTTTAGGTGTATGTATTCTTTATTTAACTTTATTCATACTCATCAACTATCAACTAAATGAGAAAAAGGTCTGACAAGTCTCTAAGTTATTTGAATCTTCCTAGAAAATTATATGCATAGGTTACAATTTTTAGAAAATCTAAACTAAACGGAAAGTAGTAATTGAATTTGAAAGTTGCAAAAAAATAAAGCATGTATCATGCATGTATTAATAAAGTTTGAACCATTAGTTTTAAAACACCCCTGTATAAAGGGCTACAAAATTTAAATACATTGTCACGTAGAATCAAGTCAGTACTGTCGATTTTTGAATTTTGAAGAATCTGTGGAAAACTGAAAACCTTTGATGCTGGGTAAGGAATGTGGTATCAAACGACGTAGATTTTCATGTAGAGTTCGAAAACTGTAATAAAATAGAGAGCGTTTCTATTTAATTAAGAAAGTTGTCTATTCGACATGCAGTTAGAACCGGTAGTGAAAATCATGATAACATTTTTCTTTTGATAGATCATAAAAATGGTAAGTAAATTTTCAATTTTAAATGATTTATGAAAGCCTGAATACTTCTAGTAACGGTAATGGTATTTGCTATTGACTAATGTAAGTCCATTTCAAATAATCTAGCTTCAACAAATCACAAAAGAAAAAAGAGTATATGGGTATTGCCATTCATATATACTTAATTCTAATTTACTTTGTTTGTTAATCTTTAATTAATTTAAATTTAATTTTATTTAAGTTACTTTAAACAATACGACAGTCGTTCACATTATTTTCTTATAAACAGAAAATTAGTATTGCAATTCAAAGAGGGAATGCAGTGTGCATTATGGGAACTTTCACAATTCTTTCAGGCTAGAAGAAATTTTATTTACTTTAAATATTGTTATTGAAATTATTTTGTGAAATGCGTTTTAAATAAATTAACACATAAAATTGTTTGTGAATGAATACGCACCTATAGCCTGCAGCGTTTTAGAATCCACTCAATATTTGTATTGTTAGTTGCCTACAAATTTTCTATCTGGCGCAAAAATCCAAATCTTAATCACTGCAGAGCGGCCTTATTATCCTTCTGTCGAGGGTAAAATTGTCTACTCATGGTAGTAAATTCGCCCCTGAAAACTTGTGCCTATGTCGATTCGCCCCCTCCTGCTCAAAGAAAGCTGGTCTCAGACAAGCTTACCCTTCTGGGGAGAATAAGATTCTCTGCGCATATGCGATTCGCATTTTATAAATTTTCAACCCAAACTGAAAAGTTTTTGAGTGTCCTGAGGTTAGCTCATGTTTTTTCGAAGCTGATTTCACAAAATTGCTTTGATTAATGTAACCTCAAAAATTAAGATCTTGTAGGCCAATGTTTGCCAATATTTGGTGTCAACAGTCAATGGGCTATCTATAACAAAGCAGAAGGTCATTATTTATATGATGAAAAATTTACTCTAACTGTGCTATTTTTTATTTGATCACCTGATACAGTAAAACACATCACTTCTTGCATTAATCAAACCTCTACCATTTTCATGATGTGCTTCTTTCATTGAAAAGTCATATTAAATTATTGTGCTGGTTATAGTGATCCGAAGTAGGATGTTATTTTATCTTTCATATCGTTAGCATCCCTTTACTTACCAAGTGTCTTTAATTTTAGTCTGCCACATAATCAAACAAGGAAGATGTACGCTCGTCACCACACTTCAAATGTTTAAAATATTAGCATTAAATGCTCTCATTCTCGCTTACACGCAGTCGGTATTATATTTAGACGGCATAAAGTTAAGAGATATGCAAGCTACCTTACAAGGACTACTACTGGCAGCATGCTTTTTGTTTATTTCTCGATCGAAGGTAAGTTCACCGTTTGGTTTTCAATTCTCGCTCATCTCTTTATTTTAGCCCTTAAAGACGCTATCGAAACAAAGGCCGCTGCCCAACATTTTCAATGTGTACACGATCATGACCGTCTTACTTCAGTTTTCCGTTCATTTCATTTGCCTAATATTTTTAGTCCAACAGGCCAAACTTCGTGCTCCACCAATGTAAGATTATTTATTTTCAGTCTCTCTGTTATATTTCTTATTTTAGCGAAGACGGTAAGAAACCTGTAATAAAACTTTCAGTCGAAGAAGAGGAAGGAGAAGAACCATTTGAACCCAATATCGTTAACAGCACTGTTTACATAATATCGATGGCTTTGCAAATCGCGACGTTTGCAATAAATTACAGGGTAAGTCAAAACCTTGTTAATTCAATTATTCAGTTATTTACTTTCTAGGGGTATCCATTTATGGAAAGTTTAAAGCAAAATCGGTACTTGCTGTATAGCATCATTGGATCGTCGGCTGTAGTATTAGCTTTAACGTTGGGAATTCTCCCCGAGCTGTCGGCTCAATTTGAGTTGATCATTTTTCCACCGGAGGTAAGTTTTCAAAATGGCTTCCCAGATTAATAATAACAATTCATTTGTAGTTTCGTGTAATTTTATTGCAAGTATTATTTGCGGACTTCTTTTTTTCGTTCTTAGTCGATAAATTGTGTCTGTGGTTGTGTGGAGAGGGTAAATTATCGAGTGAATTAGTTTAAAGGTACAAAAGACTTTTTAATGTTAATTTTGTATAAACTCGTGGTATAAATAAATAAATGTTAATGTTTAAATATTTTTATTACATTTTATTAAAGTATTTCTAATAGTAGTTTATTGTATTAATTGTTTAATGGGACCATTTGAAATAGTGTATTTGTCTACTATATGGACCCTTGGTGGAGGAGCTCTTTGGAGCAATAGTAAATTTGTCTTTTAGTTTTCAAATAGAAATTCATAAGATATTTACATTACAGGTTAAAGTTTTAATTGACTCTCCTCCTCCCCAGCTCGTTCATATTTTGATATGTGTGAGATACGCGATAGATTTCGTCATCATTGGGAATAACAACTACTGCATTTAGGATCTAGTTTTGACGTGTTTAGTGATTGTGATTTGATGTCAGAGACGGGCGAATAGAACCCCCCCCCCCCCAACGAGAGTTCCAAGGGCAAATGAGTAGTGTGACTCCACGTTGCAGTTTACTCAAAAGTCTGACTTTGTCTCAATTTAGGACCTAAGCACCTCGACTGTTTTAGTACTGCGGCGTAGCCTACTGCAAAGTGAAATGAAAACTGTCCAATTTGCGCTGTAACCAAACGACCGCTGCAAAAAAATTCCTCATCATCTTTCCCATAAACAAAACTGGTTTTTACGCCAAAGTGCTGTAGATCTCGTGTAGATGCATGTTCTTAAGACGCCGCAACAGATGACTCTCATCGAACTGAACCTCGTTACTGAACTAAAAGCTTCAGTTTCTTGGAAAAATGAAGTGAATTGAGACTCACACAGTTTTTATTATTTCTGACGGTTACTGAACAAGGGAACCTACCAAAAACCGTCAGCGCGATTTTTCTTTAAACAGTGTGTTGCGAGTTTTTTTTATGCTACTTTTGTTTAAATTGAACCACATATTTCAATATTTATTGAGCAAAATTGGGTACAAAATTGTTGATATAATATGTACATTGTCTAGGAACAAAACAAAACAATCTGTTTATGACTTGAGTTTAATTTAAATACATACGAAAGTGTTAATAGTGCGGTATTCGATTAGCTACGTCTATTGGTGAAGCTAAATCGCAACTTAAAACTGTGATGATAGGTCCACGAAACCCAAACACCATAACATGAATGCGTACTGCGCACCTTTCCATTAGGAGTTTCCACTTGAGCACCGTCTTTTCCTCATCGCTCATTGCTAAAAATTGTCGCACCTAAAAATACAGTAGCTTATATTGCCAAGTAAAATTTTAAATTACCTTACCGAGCAATTCAAAACTTTTTCGGCAGTTTCCCCATATAATCTGCACTGAATCAAGGAACCTGTCTGATCTGTTAACATTAGGCGTAGATCAAACGCCGTTATGGTTTCACTATGCTTGAAGCCGATGCATTCGGTGTTAGAACAAGAGTTACTGTCATTTTCCAACGGTGTATCGCACCTAGAACTACAAAATACCTCAAATTGAAAATCTTAAAGAAGTGCGTAACTAAACCATTTCGTCACTAATAATCGATTTAAACCGTCGAGGTCCAACTGAGTGACTACCGCGTATAAAAGTGCAGTAAATTGTTGCTCCTCAAAACTGATGTTGTTCGCAGACCTTATGTTGTTTCCCTTATCCAAAACCTGCTGTATGTTCATTACGTTCCGAATCAAAGAGACTGAAAATCACTTTGCTATTAGATCATAATTAAAACAACCACTTACTGTCTTGCACAGAAAACGTCTCATTTGTGAACGCCATCGGTTTTACCTTCGCGACGTATTTGCGTAAGTTCTCGGTCTCTACACCTAGCGGATTTTCGGTGATCACGGAACGAGACGTTATATTTGCAGTCATGGATGCCATAAACTTGGACCACTCGCAACGTACATCGGTAATAAATAGAACTGTATGCAAAATTTTCCATGCTCCGGCTCTGAAAAAGTAACACTTTCTTTTTTAAATTAACTCACTTAAAATGGTGACGACCGTAAAAGTGGTAAACAGTTAAATTGTTAATTAATAACAAAAAAAATTGATGGGATCACATCTCTTATGTGCAACACTACCTAATGCCTAATATTGGTAATGAGTGTAATGACTCATGTACACATTTCACAAATCTGAATTAATTCAAGTAGGTATCGGCAGGGCACCATCAATGAATAGTACAGTAGAGAGTCGATTATTCGAAACAATTGGGGATTGGAGATGTTCAGATTTAACTGATTGATCGGATCCTCGGTTATTGACAGCAAAATAAGATATAATAACATAAATTTGATTAATTAACATTCAAATTTATTCTGTAATTGTTTAATTCGATTTGTTGTATTTAGTTTGTATGGTAAATTTAAAACAGATAACTTAAAGAACATTTAATCGAGGTTTTTTACGTGAGTTTAAAGTTTCATCTGGTAGGGTGTAGAAAAGGTTGTTATCGCACAAGAATTAATTGATTTTTTTACAAACAATGTCACGTGCGAGATAAGCGACGCAGTTGCAAGATTCGATGGGATAATTTCAATGGATGTAGAAAAAAAATTTCAAAATGGCGGTTTTCGAGATATTGACATCATAACTTCCTTATTTTAAACGGACGCCATATTGAATTTTTACGTCACTCGATAGAGAATAAAATTACAAAACCAGTAATACTAAACACTGCTTGCATTTTTGCCTTGAAGTTTAAAATGTATTTCTTATGGCAATAAAAAATAAATTATTCAACTCGACATAAACGTATATTCATTCAATTAATTCAGAGAGTGGACACCAGGTCCAGTCTCCATCAGCTCCAGTCTTAGACAAAACGTCAATAGTCATTAAAATTTATCAGATTTACAAATATTGTAATAGGGTACCAAGCTTAAGGTACCTACCTAGGTACCTAAATATGGATACCTTGATGGTAAAGGTGATGAACCTTGGTCGTATAATGCTAATATCGAACACTATAGGTTTACCATTGAAAAATAAATTCAATTTATAGTACCTGCACTTTACTATAATCTTATTCAGAAGTGCAAGAAGGAAATAAAACAACTATTTACCTAGACCTACCTATATTCTTATATTTAACAATAATCAATCTAATAGGTATACCTACCTACTCTGCTAGAGAAACGTAATGTATTCTTCGATACCCTACCTACCTGGCAATCAATTCAGGATCCCAAAAACTAATTTTCAAAGCAGAACTTGTTTGGTCAAGTATCATGATGTCTCTAACTTGGCGTACACCAATACTTGTCGTAACATTACGAACCTTACCTAACAGTCGAACTATACCAAAAATATCTAACCCTACAAGATACTAGAAGTAGATTTTTGATCGAATCGAATATTAAGCAGCATACCGTCAATTCTGTCTTTCATATTATGTATGTCGGCGATAGTTACAGCTCCGGCAATCGGTTTCGTTACGTAATTCATCAGGGTCGAAAAACGCGACCAGTTACCTTCGTGTTTCATAATCCTCGTAGGGGTGACATCGTTCAATATCAAAGTGTAAGGTGATGTGACCATCGGTCGGAAATTCTCTCCGCCACCGTGTGATCTTCGAATTTCGATTTGTGGTGCGATGACATTTACTTGAAACGAAATGTGTACACAACAAAAATGTAAAGAGTCAACTTACCAACATCTCCTACGCTGAATTTTTTATTAAACCCGTTCAGAATATCCTGAGTGCCCCAACATGTGACATTGATGTAATTTAACGGAGAGTCACGTAATGTAAAATTCCAAACGGCACGAGATGCAACATTTTCGAAATCACGGCCTGTGAAGACCCGAGGTTCTTGCTTGGCAATTATAATACCAACTATTAATCCATTTAACAATTCGGGGGTGAGCGCGTGCAATTGAACCCTCTGTAGTCCGATATATTCCATCTTCTATTTTCTTCTTACAACTTTACTTTAAAAATTTCAATTCTATTTAGGCTTAGGTATTTTCTTCTAATTAATGAGATTTAAAGCTTTAAGACTTCTGATAAGAGGAAATTGTGTAGATACGCAACTTTCAAATATTTAAAAAGTATCGGCATTCGACGAAGAAAATAATTTCGATGAAGTGCATCTAAAGCCCGGTTTACACGCTATGATATATGCTATAAATTTATGGTAAAGAAACGGAACGTGTGAACAGGTAATTGTAGTTATTACTTAGACCATATAGTACATGGACTGCTAATTGTAACGAAAATATGGGCAAGGACATCGCCTGGGTATTTGAGTTTCAGGGTAAACGAGTCTGTCCGAAGTTGTGTTTAGACACCATTTGAGCAAACGTCAATTAATTAATCGCCTAGATATGCCAAACAAGCAAACCTATCCGTATTTGTGGACGTATAGAAGATAATCAAGAGTATTTAAAGCTTCCCGTACTGCGCCGTTACCATAAAAGCTACTCTTTACACGATCCGAGTTGTGTTTAAAAGACTTTAGTTTACCCTGAAATTCACATACCCACGACTACAGTGCCCTCTATCCGTGACCGCCCATTTTATATTGAAAGCAGTCCATGTACTATATGGTTTTAGACTGGAGCCGGCATTTATTTTTGCGAATCGTAACGACAAGTTGGACCCTTCGATCATACATACGGTATGTATGATCGAAGGTTGGACCGTGTAAACAATAACAACCATTCTTCGCCACGATTGTGACTCAGTTTGAGTTTCTATTGATCTGATCGCATAACTGCATGGCTGTCCCCAAAGTCCTCCAGAATTTATGATTGAATTTATCAATTATATCACTGAGTTTTCCACGCTAACAGGAATAAAATAAGATCTTGCATATGAAAAAAAAATTAATACTTTGCGTAAGTCGGACTTTTTCAATCACCTTTTCTATAATATGTAACTTCTGTTCTTGCACCTTTGTGATAATAGTTGTGAAAAAATGTATCTACAGCATAGATTTCGTCGAACATTCTCAACACCAAACACTTTTGTGGACACCCTGTATACGACGTAAGACTTAGACCATATAGTACATATATGGTCTAAGACGTAAGAACATAACATAACCTGTTTTAATTTCACGAACATAACCACAGAACATAACCTAAAAATATTTAGATTTTTTCGCTTTTCTGTTTAGTTTGCTATATGAAAATGAAGATCTTGCTACCAAAGGCTTGTTTTTGTAACTGGTTGTAACGCACAAAGCACAAAAAAATCAGCAAGAATGTCTACAGAAACTGAAAAAGACTCGGCACAGCCTCAGTCCGAAAGAAGCACCAAGTATATTTTTTTAAACAAAAGTACAGTACATAATTCGACAAGCATCGCAGATATCTCACAAAAACTGTTATGCATCGAATATCCGGGAATCGTTGACAGTGTTGATACAATGATCGAATCCTTGGGGGGCATGCACAACGTCGAAATGGTGAGAATTTCTTTATTTAAAAACTCGAAACTTTAGCCATAAAAGGCTGTAGGAAATTATAATAGACGATTGGAGTTGAAATTTCGTCCCAATGACATCTTCTGTAAACCATGTTGGGGCGATAAGGATTTTAAGACAAGTTTACTGGTGAAAATAACAGTTCATAAATCTGTTAATAGTGGCCCATCGTCATCAAAGAGTTTTGACGTAAATGAAACTACGTACTCCTACAAACCAGTTGGTGTGATACCTATGACGTTTAAATTTAACAGTAAGTATATTTCTCTAAGCTTGTACCATAACCAGATATTTTTGTACGTACATGTAATGCCAGTACATGTTTATACCCGTAATGCCAACTATGTAATGCCACAGTACTACCATGTAATGCCAGTGACTAGTATATCAACTAATCAAATGATTTCAGGACTATGTGACTTTCAATACCTTCCACTGGTTCCGCAATTGGGTGAAACAGAAACTGCAGAATCAACCTGTTGTAATATTTACGAGAAGATTATTCCGTCCAAGGTACCAGATTTAAAATGGTTTGAGTATGCGACCACTTTACCTAGTACGCACGCACGAAAATTATTGCAATGTTTGCAGATCAGAAGAGTCCAAAACGATGCCATTTTTCTTTCCACCGCCCGTGTTTGCCAAATTTAATACTTCTAAGGATAATAAATTATACTACGAAAGGTATAAGTACTACGAAAAAGTACTGCCGGAATTTGCGCAGAGGCTTAAGAAGGAGGCGGACAATAAAAAACAGGAACCGAAAAATCTAATTGGCGGTCGAAGTCGCACGTTCAGAAAGGCTAATTCGATATTTGTCAATGTGAATGCAAAGAATATGAATATACCCGAGGGGCCAACTGAAGATGCTTTGGATACGATAAGAAAAAGAGGTCTTTTGTGTGATTCCGGCCCAATGGTTACCATAAAAAAGGTATTCAATTGTCTCGTAGAGGTTAGATATTAATATCGCCCACGTAGTCGATACTGATGTATCTTCTCTGACCCCAATGAGTTCAGTTATCTCAAATCGTTTGGCCACTAGAGGGCGTTTTTGAATAAACAACTCGATGGTGCGCGTGTAAAGGGATATAAGTCATTAAATGAGAAACCGAGTAAATGAGCAATATAGATTACATTAACTTTCACAAATCATCTGCCTAATTAATTTTTAAGGTAAATTCAAATTTTGTCAAATAGAATAAGTGTTATTTAGATTATAAATCTTTATTACTAAAATAATGAAAAATACACAATTTGAACTAAACTTATATCTTTTGACACATTACAAAAACTGAAAAACAAAACATATATCCCTTTTCACTTTAACAAATGTTCATATTTAAACTGTTCTTCTGAAGTGTCATAGTTGTTGAAGCCATCTATCAAATAATTATCCAGTCGCAATGCAAGTTAATTTTAAAAAGTTTTGTGGTATATCATTTTCCTTGATAATGGAATAGTTAGGCACTAGATGCCTTAAACCAAAATTTTTACATCTGTCCGCTGTATGTGATGTGTTATTTTCGGCGCTAAAATTATCCTGGGCGCTTCTCATTCCTTTACAAAGTAAGGATTGTGCGTCGGAAAAAATCGTACATATCCAGAGATTGAAGTTGTTGTTCAGATGAGTTGAGTAATTGTTGTTACATGCTTTGAAACATTATTTCAGGATAACCCTTAAAAATCGAACACTATTGTTGTATTTAGTAATTTTTTAACTTTTAAAAACCACCCCTGATTACCCTGTAGCTATTTCAGTCGCAATGAAGGCGTGGACGGTTGAACAACGCAGGATTGTAGGCAAACACGCGTTGTTCAACCGTCCACGGCTTTCTTGCGACTGTGATATCTAAATGACCACTCCTTAGGAGGTGAATGACAGCTCCCATCACCCCATGATTCTCCAGCGTTCACACTTTACCGAAAATGTACCCGTTGTTATCGCTTATTTATTTCCAGACATACTTTTGTTTACATTCGCTAAGGAGCGGTATGTATGAATTTTCCAATGTTAAATAAAATACAAATTCGAGAAAATACTTTTGAAATTCTAAAGCAACAAGAGTAATCCCAATACGGTTGATAGACTGGATACCAGATCCATTGTCAAAGTTGTTGTTACCCCTAGTGATAATATGTGACCCACTGATATACATACCTAATCCCTTAAATAAAAAGTGCAGTGCTAAAGAAAGAAAACATCTTAATTTGTAATGACGTTCCATTGCAGTTATTCGAAGAGAGGCCAATATGGTCGAAGTCTGCCTTACTGCACAAATCCGGTATCCGAAGTGATCGCTTAAAGGTAATTCTACCGGGAGTAGCGTACTACTGCCCTACCGGCCCTTGGAGGATAATGTGGTGTAAATTTGGATACAATCCAACACTGGACCCCAATAGCCGAATATACCAAACTTTTGATTTTCGAATACGCGCATCAGGTGCGTGTCATTAGTTCAAAAGGTCAACTGTAAAACATACTCCATTTCAGGCGGTTTAAAAGTAAAAGTTCAGGCTAAGCGTAGCTATTCCAGTAACATTCTGCAATATAAAGCGGGACCAATCACGACCTCAAAATTTTCTCTGAAGGATTGCTCGTCGGAAAACGTCGTCGTAAAGCGGACAGTCGATGAAAACTTCTACATTCTCAAACCGGGCGTTCTTCCGCCCGCCCGCCAAATGTTTTATCAATACTGCGATTTAGAGCTGCCCGAAATAAAAGACATGATAGCGCGATTACCACAAATAACTAGCGATATGAAATATGATCGCAAAAACGGATGGCTGCCCAATGGATTTCACGAACATTGTCGCGAAATATCAAACTCGTACGTTACAGACTATGTGAAGAAGTTGTTGGTAGACGAGAAGAAAAAGATGGATATGGAAAAAGAAAGAGACATAAACTTTGGTTCTCAAAACAAACCCACGCAAAGTAACAAACCTGATGTTACCATTTTGGGTGCGACTATTGTGATAGATGATGATGAGGACGGCGAAGAAGGTAATACAAGAAAACCAGATGGAACTGATAGTGAAGATGAACAAATGGATTTTGACGGTAAGGATTTATCTGAACCAATATTATCACTTACTTTCTACGCCATACGCACAATTTGTGTAGTTCCACGTTGATTTTTCTTACTGACTCATCGACTTAGGAGTTTCTCCTTAGGTTATATCACTTGTATGAAACTTCTTTTTTGCTTTCCATTATCTCAAACCAGCTGGTGTACCTGTGACGTGACAAGAAAATGCAGATAATCGACTCTGATTTCCGACATGATTACAGAAAGGTATAGAAACGACGACAAAGGCAGGATTATGGTGACAAAGGCTTCCTTCCAATCTTTTATCTTTTTTGTTATTGTTTTTTTCTGAGGGTTAACTAAATAACACTATTATTATTTTTTTACGGCAATCTTGAATTTGAACGACAAATGCTTCATAAATAATATCAGTGTGGCAACAACAAAAGCTTTGCGTGTAATCACGGTCCTCCTCATACATGAAATGGAAGTAGGTCAATAATACCCCTTCTAAACTTTTCGATTGGCGTTGAAAATTGTTTCTACTCGTTGACCATTGTATGTAAAAGTACTCTTGTAACAATATTTATCACTTTTTCCACTAAACATATTAATTAGACGTCACATAAAAAAATACATCAAGCTCGCCTTGCCTGATTCACGCGTCTCTTCCACGATCCAAAATAAAAAAATATACTTATTCACTATAAACGTTTGGTTGCAAATTTTTATATACATGGTAATTGAAAAATACATATTAAGGTACCATCTCAAGTTGACACGTAGTCACTTAATTTTATTTGTGGTAATGGAACGGTATTAAACCAGTTTGAGAGACTACCAATCCAGTTCACATGTGATAAGTCACCTTTTATTAACAATAAATTACACCAAACACTTGCACAAAAGATCATTTTTACTTTTTATGCCAAATACATTTTATCTTTTAGGTGATGAACTTGATGGAGATATAATTGATTCGGATGAAGCAGAAGATGCCAACGATGAACTGGGAGAAGTAATCGATATGAAAGCGGTAGAAGAGATCAATGAAATAATTGGAAGTATGGACGATCCGGAAGCGCAAGTGCAAAGTGGTAGTGGAGATAAAGATTCTGAGGACGAGTTTGATCCTGAATTAATAAAACTATATAGGAAGTTAATTTTATCAAATGTAGACGGTAGCAGTTAAAATATACAAAAATATTTATTAATAACTTAACATTTAATCGTTTCATAATAAAAATATGCGACTTTTCTAATGTTCTGTGTATAATCTAAACCCATCTAGAAAAGTAGCAAAAATTCTAAACCAACCGTAATACTTGGAACTTCTTTAAAGAAAAAAAGAGCACTACAGACATATTCCCGATAAATAATACTCTTTTAGTATACAAAAAAGTTGTGGTAAGTTCACATCTGCGGTAGTTGATCAATAGGTGTGGCGAACTTGAAGTCTTCAGGGAAGAGATTTGCAGCGTGTGGATACATTAATTTGTAGGATTGCCTTATGGTTACATCGGCAACACCGGCAATATCACCTATCTCTTTTTGACTTCTTTTATCTTCTGATGCCTATAACAAAGAACACAAAATTAACAGTGACAAGATCAGAGAAATTGAATTCTATAATTTTAAAAACTAATTTTGGATTTGGTGTTGAAAGTCTCAAATTCCCAATTCTGTTAACATAATTTTAGACTTTTATTTATATTTTTACAAAATCATACTTCGACATTACTTAAGATTAACACAGGTTCGAGTAGTACCTAAGCATTTCGAAAATGTTTTTGGATTCTAGAAAAAAAGGCACAATAAAATAAAAATATATTTTGGAAATGTTTGGAAAATGTCAAACATGTCAGAAATTTTAAATAGGGTTGGATTATTCAGTTGTTTTTTGACTTCCAGTTTTACAGGGAATACAACTTTGGAACTTTAAATGGGACGCCCAGTATATTCTTACATATTTGGATAGACAAGGCATTCTGAATAAAATGACATCTCATATGTCAACTTGTGACATTTTGAAATTAGGTATTAAATTTCAAATCTAGTATGACTTATGCCCGTTTGCACCGACAAATTTAAGCGGAGCTTAGCTTAAGCATTGCTTAAAATCCATGGCAACATTATCGAGACAATGGTTGCCATGGATTTTAAGCTACGCTTAAGCTAAATTCCGCTTAAATTTGTCGGTGCAAATGGGCATTAACCGTGTTAAAACAGTCAATTCTTAGTCAAGGAAGCTTGGGAAAATCTTTGCAAATCATAGTTCAATTGTCAATTTATTTATGTATTGAAAATTTTATATTCGGTTGTGGTAGGAAACAAATGAAAATTATGTGTTTACAGAAAACCGCCATGATGTAATGATATCACATTCCGTTTGTACCATTCTTTCTCACTTGCAGTATCCGCACTTACCATTGACACGCACATTCCATTTATTATATGTTGATGGTTTCTACACTTACAAAACCCAACATGGTTACTTCCTCACCGACTTACCTGTGAAGCCATGTAAATTGCTGCAGCAGCTACTGATATTGGAGAACGGCCAGGTACTATATCAAGTTCAACTGCTTTGCGTGCAATATGAGTCGCAGCCCTTTGTACCATATTTGGCAGCCCGAGGTTCGAACAGAATCGAGACATAAAATCGCCAGTTGTGATGAGATCCACCGATGTTTCGAGTGCTTTCAGAATTAGTTTAAAACATCTGCCGATTTCCTTCTTACTAATTTTGCTTACTGCACAAATTTCCTTAAAGGTACGAGGTACCCCCTCTTGCCGACATGCGATATACAGACAGGCAGATGCAATTGCATCATTAGATCTACCTACGGAGACAGAACCTAAATAATTAAACCTCGACAAAACACGAACCTTTTAAGTTTCTTCCATCGTGAACTTGCTTAAATAAATTATTTGCACGATCTACAATAGTTCGTGGAAGATTAATGCGATCGGCCATTGAATTAATTTCTTTGAAAGCATTAATTAATGCACGATCCGAACTGCTCATTGTACGACGATTCTGATAACGAGCTACTCCAAAGTCATCAAAGGACACATCACCTGCACAAGCAAAATAACAACCGAACAATACAACCAACTATCTCACCTCGTCCCGGTCCAATCATTGTCGTCAAATCTGATCCGCTCAACAGGGGATTTTCCGGACCACCGACACGAGATGGATCAACGTTCGACTTTTCATTACTGAACGTACGCCATTCTGAACCAACATCGATTACCCTGCAGTAGCAATGTATGAGAAACTTTAATTTTTGAATTCGCAATCACCTGTCTCCAACAACCAAGCCACATTCTGAGCATATTTGATCTCCCGCTCGATAATCTTCAATAAGTGGGGCATCTGGATGGGAATTACAACACACTTTGTTTGTATCATACCTAAATTGTACAAAAAGCAAGTTTTATCAATTTTCAAGGTAGGGCATTAAAAAATAAATGCTTTTCTTTTAAATCACGTAAAAAACAAACCTTGAAGAACTCGCCATCTTCAAAAACAACTTCTCGTTCTCGGCTCTCCGCTCTCGTCTCGTTCGCGTTCTAGACGATGTTGAAAAATGCGAAACTCACAGTGATGCCAAACGTTATTTTTAAAAGAGCACTCTACAACGTAGTGCAAAATAATTGTCAGTTCAATTCGTTCGACCAACACCTTATTAATAGTTAACCGAAGTTGAATTAAATTTATTGACAAAGACCTTCCGCATAAAATTGTAATTGAGTTTATTTGAACGGCGACATGTTTCGGCTAAAAGCCATCATCAGGCCCTAAAAGATGTAGCATTACAAATTTGAGCTTAACCTATGGCGACGAAACTTATATGAACAACGGTAGAGAAAATCTATCTAATCTATTTTCTATTTTAGATGTCCAGTTTGCATCGATTCCTTTTGTACTTTTCGGTCTACTGTTCCCTTCTGGACATTAGATCTCTTATTTGCGTCGTCCTCTTCACCCTTTTGGAGAATTGTGATGTTTAAATTGTTCCGGTTTAACCGATTTTCTCTACCGTTGTTCATGTAAGTTTCGTCGCCTTAGGTTAAGCTCAAAATTGTTACGCTACATCTTTTAGGGTCTGATGATGGCTTTTAGCCGAAACATGTGGCCGTTCAAATAAACTCAATTACAATTTTATGGGGAAGGTCTTGTAAATAAAATGTTTTCAACTTCGATTAACATTTCACCCCATTTCGAGTTACCAATAGAAAAATGGATACCAACCGAGGTTATTAATAGTCTTTTACTTGATACAAACGCACTTAGTTAACTAATTAGGTAAACATCGCATTACGCAATTCAAAAACCAAACCTAATAATTGTACTTAATTATTAACGCAACAATAGAACAATTTCAAAAAATGCAAAATGGTACTTTACATGATGTGCTAAAAAGTCCCTGCATTGCATAGAAAGAAACATGCTAGCGAAATATTAAACACACTTTATTCAAAATAGCTTACATTTCATCTTCATAGTCTTCGGGCGGGAAATGCAGACTGCAAAGCGCACAGCCTATTGCATACGGGGCCCAGGTGCCCCTTTCGATTTCACTTTCGTCGTTCCATAAATAACACGAGATCTGCATCCGAAGCCGTCGCGCATATTTTTGGATAAAATAAAACGTTTCCAAATCGTCTTTTAATTCAAATTTTTTATGTACTTGTACACTTCTTTGTTGACACTCTTTTATTTAAAAGGTTATTGAAATACAGCCTTGTACCTAAGTGTTCTCTAAAAAAAAGGCATTTTTAGTATTTGTGTATTTGCCTATAGCCCTATACCGTTATCATTGTTTAAATTAATATATACCTACTTAAGCTATGCGTGATAAGAAGTATTACGCGTTGAGTGAAATTCGTTATTCAATGGTAGGTACCTATAAGTATGTCATTATAATATGGTGTAGCATTCCCATAGATATTCCCTAGCCATTTTCCTAACTTAAAAATGTCCCATAAAGTAATACTTGTAACGGGAGGTTTCGGTTTAGTTGGTAAGGCCATTAAGACCATAACTAAATTGGAGCCATATGAAGGAGAAGAGTGGGTTTTCCTTAGCAGTAAGGACTGCGATTTGTGGTAAAATGCATGACGGATATTGCTTCTCTTAATAAGTAATAAATTCCAATTTGCAGTGATACGGAAGCAACACGAAGAACGTTCAATACTTACAAACCGACACATGTTATTCACTTGGCGGCGATGGTTGGTGGATTATTTTACCATGCGGGGCATAACTTAGATTTTCTTGTGGGTATAAAGGGGTAGGGGTATATATACCTTATGTTGTGTTTTCCAGCGTAAAAATCTCCAGATAAACGACAATGTTCTTCAAATGAGTTATGAAGTTGGAGTACATAAAGTGGTGTCATGTTTATCTACATGCATCTTTCCAAATGATACTACGTATCCGATTGATGAAAACTATGGAAAGTATATAGCCAGTAAACTTACCTTCAAGTGTGATCCTTTTTTTATTTGTGAAATCAGTTTAATAGTCGTATTTATTATTATGATCAACAATTCATTTAAGGTTCATAATGGTGCGCCTCATGGTTCAAACTATGGCTATACTGTTATTCCAAACGTTTTATCGATATAGCAAATTGTGCTTACAACCAGCAACACGGGTGCCACTTATTCACATCGGTTATCCCGTGCAATGCTTTCGGACCCAACGACAACTACAATTTGGAATCAAGTCACGTGATACCGGGACTCATCCGCAAATTGTACGATGTAATTGAAGCAGGTAGGTATGATATTACCACTGGGAGCAATTTATTAATTTTAGTCTACCGTTAGGTGGAAAAGAATTTACTGTGATGGGAAGTGGAAGACCGCTACGGCAATTTATTTATTCGTACGATTTAGCGAGGTTGATTGTTGGGTTCTGAGGGAGTATGACGAAATTGATCCTATAATGCTGACTGGTATACCTAGTAGTTTTTTTCTACGTAGAAACTCGACATCAAAATTTTCAGTTGATGAAGAGATAACAATTAAGGAAGTTGCCGAGAATATCGCTAAAGCATTTAAATTTGAAGGTGAAATTGTTTTTGATACAACTAAAGCGGATGGTCAGTATAAGAAAACAGCAAGTAATGTAAAACTGCGAAAATATTTGCCTGATTTTGAATTTACTCCATTTGATATTGCAATTCAACAATCTGTGGATTGGTTTAAAACAAATATTGAGTCTGCAAGACTATGAAGTACACATTCGTGTATTATTCAATTAAGATTGTTAAGCCGGGTCCACATTGTGACGAACGTTGCCGTTCGTTCGCACCGTTGCCGGTCGTTCGTTCGCATACGTTTCTCTAGTGTGGACGACAGTTCGCAACTGAAAGTTGGTAGTGCAAACGATTGCGAATGGGAACGAACGCGTTCCATCAATTGTCGGTAAAATTCAAAAGATCAAACGTTAACGCAGAGCCACGAATCCTCACAAACGTTGCAATGTGGACGTGTTTTAAAAGGTTTGTGGTCATTCGTTTGTTGAAAGTATTGACGAAAGGGTGTTTTTGTTTATTGGTTAAAATATGAGTGATAATCAAATGGTTGCGGCAAGTGTGGCGTTTGTCCTGATAAACAACATAATAAAACGACGAAAGAAAAGACCACAGAGAAGTGTGTGGATACACGATTTATACTTGAGTCGAAACACATACGGCGGTGCTGATTTATTAAAAGACCTCAATGATACTTTTTTTAAGAACTTCACCAGAATGTCTCGTGTGGATTTTAGTACACTTCTGGAAATGATCAAGCCCAAAATTGCAAAACAAAATACATTTATGAGAACAGCTATTCCGGCTGAAGTGAGACTTGCGGTAACGTTACGTTTCCTCGCGAGTGGTGATTCTTTCGCCAGTTTACAATATACATTTAAAATTTCGTTTGTATTACGCGGAACGAATGCGAACAGCGACGAATGCATAGTGCATCGCGAGCACATTCCTTGCCATTATCACTACGTGCGAGCGTTTGCAAATGGTTAGCAATGCAAACGAACGACCAGCAACGCGAACGAATGGCAACGTTCGTCAAATGTGGACCCGGCTTTATTTATGATTTTTTTATTATTGTTAATGTATTGTCAAGTCAAATGTCAATCATATTAATTAAAAAAATGATTTTGTCCCTACTGATGCAAGTGTTGTATGTTTATGTTGCCAAGTTTCTTAGGCGTCTATTCTTAAAATTTTATTGAATGAGGACAAAAAAGAACGATGAGCGAGATGCAAACACCGCGATCTGCGGGTGGTAAAGTGGATTCTCCAGTATCACATTAAATCACTGAATGATTAATTTGTGCGAATACGGTAACTCTTCCAACTATTACAGTCGATTTTGCCGCTGTAATGCTTTCGATAGGATCTCGCCAACAATTGTACCTATACACTATTTATTTCATTATTTGTATATGTATGTATTGTGCAATGATTAAACGTTCACTAAACCATACCTTTAGCGGGACGCGCGCACTCCGACTACACTTCTTCGTTAAACGGTGAAGCCACACCCTCACTGTTTACTTTTACCACGACATTAAAAAAATTCTTCAAACCACTATCTAGCTTCCTTCTACACAACTTTACAACTAAACAGAACAAGAATAAGGGAAAGTGGATTCACATATAAGCAAGGCATACACTATAAAAGTGCATTGAAATGAAACATGCTGCTCTAAAGTGCTGCTAAAGAAAAGCTAACGTGCACAGCAACACGTAACGAAAGGATGATCATCTTTTACTGCAATAGCACCCTTTTGTTTAAAAGCAACATGGGAACTTACGGTGCACCTTGGAAGTGAAAATTCAACGGTTTTAAACTACGACAAGGGAAATGCAAGCCCATTAGTTCAGATGCAAGATCATCCATAATCTTTAGATGTCGTAACTATAACTCTCGCCAGGAAAGATTGCGGTCACAGCACACCTTGTGTCGATTTACAAATCTTTGTTTTTATTAAGATTGCGAGCGACTTCTGAATAGGATTCGTTGCTAATGTTGCAACAAAAAAGTTCTTTTCGGTTCAACCATTGAACCACGATACTATCCGGAAGTCTCTAGCACCTTAGGAAAAACAAACACTGAAATACAAATTCAAATGAAACGAATTAACTCTGTGCCTGAAAATTTGCATACTGACATCGTTTTTCATGATCTATTTATTATTATTTGTTCTCGGGGTGGTCCCATTCGGTTCCTGCACCGCGACCTTTTGGTCTATTGTGCTCCCCAGTATTCTCTACCCCTCAAGAATACCTGTATCTTTGATAAAGTCCAGGATTTTGGTAGGGTGGATCTTCGCTACCTCTTCTTGTGTAACCTTCTCGTTTCCAAGTAGGCGTTCTCTTGCCTTTGTGTATGCTTCACATAGGCAGATAACGTGGTGTGGTGTTTCACTTTCCTCACCACAGCCCCTGCATAGAGGGCTGTCAGTCAGTCCCATGTTGTGCAGGTGCTTGTTCAAACAACAATGGCCTGTGGCCATCTCTGTTGCAAGTTTGATCTTCATCCTACTTAACTTTAAGATGGATGATGCTAGTCCCTCGTTTGGGGTTTCCAGAAAGATCTTGGAGTGACTCTGTCCCGGAATTTCCGACCAATGTCTGCAATGCTCTTTTGTGAGTTTCGCTTGTATCTCCTTTTTGGCTGTGTTATATGTAATCCCACAGGCCGGTTCGGGTCCTACGAGTGGTATCGCGCTTGCCGCTCTCGCAAGTTCGTCAGCGACCTGGTTACCTGCGATTCCCGCCCAGGTGCCCACACTAGCGTTACTGTATTAAGTCTGCCTAGTGCGTTTAGCACTTCAGTGCATTCAAGGACTAGTCCTGAATCTACTACATATGAGTTTAATGCTGCAATCGCTGCTTTGCTGTCTGTAACTATACAGATTTTCTTTCTGTTAAAGTTCTCTTTTAATAGTCGAGAAGCTGCAGTCAAGATTGCATATACCTCAGCCTGAAGCACGGTTGCTTTTTGTCCTAGGCTTACAGAGATTCTGCAGCCCTGTCCATTGCTTCCGTACACTCCACAGCCAGTGCCCTCCTTAGTTTTCGAGCCATCTGTGTAATACACGATTCCATTCAGTTTTATCTTACTGGAATTGTCCTCCCAGTCGGATATTAGTTATTCCCATACCTGGGGTTGTCTCTTCACGGTGAAAGGTGTTAGATTACATACAAGAAGTCCATACAAACATCAATCAGTTCGGAAATCTCCACAAAATTAAACGAGTCACTAAAACATACAAAGTATAACCTTTGGGCCAGGACCATGTAATCGAAACATAACCAACAATTGAGTAAACATTTACACCAAAAATGATATCGGTTTCAAATAATAAAGTTAACGGCATACAAGACTACACACGCGATACAGAATTGATGTTAAATAATGTCAATTTTCTATAGAACATTAATAAAACTAACAAAGAATCACTTTATTCTTGTGTTGCATAATAAAACATTCTGACAATCTACAATAGTAAATATATCACATGAGAATTTATTGTTCAATGAAAATCATTTACTCACAATTTTGGCTACTTTTTTGTGTTGGAATGTTCTTATAACTAGACTTAAAAAAATTAAAAATTAGATAGCTAATTAAGATACCTACCAAAATACATCATCGGTTTTATATAAGCGTTCCACCATATGCACTTATTTGCATGTGCATAGAAATTCTAAATCATATCTAACTAGAACACCTGACAGTTATGCTTGAACACTTAGTCGTTGAGAAATAAGATCAACTCTATGCCTTATATTATTTAATACATCGTTCGAGAGTTCCTCTACAGTTGTATACTTACATTTTTGAAAATTAAAGATATCTACTAAAAACCCCATTACTTGTTCTTTAAAAAAGAAACACGTGTCTCGAAGACTTTCGTCAGGTCCTAAAAACCCCCAAGCCAGCAATGGAGATAACTGCTCCATTAGAGTATAAAAATGTGACATAAAACCTGCGGGAAATTTTAACATTCGCCTTTTAGCCTTAAGTATAGACCACAAAGCCGTCGTCAAAGCTGTTTCTTTAAACCCGTTTGATAACCACCTGTTTTGCACGACTGCAGTAACAGACATAGGGGGCGACTCTAAATCTTCAAAGGCGTCCATTAAAATATAATCTAATACCACATCGTAAAAAGTAAGCGCCTTGACCCCTTTCAAACTCAGTTCGGTCTCCACATCCCGCCAATTGACCGAAGTTTGCAAAAATTTTAGCATTTCTTCGTAACCCATCAGAAAATCTTTGGGATCCTTATCCGCGTACAATAATAAATCGGCAAGAATCTGCCTACCCGAATTGACAAACCACAAATAGACCGTTTTGTCTCTAAGCATGTGCTGAAATGCCAAACGCAAACAGTGCAATTTTGCTAAGTATTCACTATCCGAGCCACATTTCACTATTTCCGTTCTTAAACTGCGACAAGGTATACCGCCATCTTCTAATTGAACTAGAGCTGCTTGATAAAGCGGTAATTTTTCGACGTCGGGGAATATTTCGGAAAACTCTTCAAACTCGCGAAGATCGGCGACCTGTGAAACAGAAGATTTATTAACGTTTGTAATGTACTATATTGTGTATGGAAAGCATCCTAGAGCTGCCATTATCCCCTGTCAGATATGAATACTTTTGGTCACTTTTGGTTGCGACGGGAGAAAGATTGTTAGTTTTCTTTTAGGAGTTTTAGGCAAGCTTAGAGTCCCCGCCCGGATGAGTTCGTAAATGAACAAGATCAGATAACTGATAGAAAATTCTCTTTCGAAATTGGAAATGACCTATTCTGAAGTAGCAGGGGGCGGGACATGGTATTTAAGACAGTCGTTCGACTTTGAACACCCTCAGGCGCCGTCTCAGAGAACTGGGGTGTGTAAGCGTATCGTTTCACTTAGGCGGTGGTCACCGTGAAGTTGATTAGTTGACCGAACCAAAAGCAATTAAAAAATATACCTATTATTCGCGGTTCCGATTCCGATTTTTATTCGGTTCATAATGCTTTCTCTTCGGTTAGGGGCCGATCCTATTGGCCTATTGGGTATAACCGTTCCGGTTCGAATTTTATAACATAGGAAGTTCCAGTTCTACATATAACTTATCGTTATTGTTTTAACATTCGTCTCATTCTCGCAATACGCAAATCGCATTAACGTCCATTGACTGTACTCATTGAGTCAATCTTGGCAGGGTTTATAACCATTCGCATATTTTGAACGGATTCCCAAAACGTTTTTATTTCGATTCCGGCCTGTCGTTAAATGAATTTTAAGGCATAGAAATAACTCTCTACCTGATCTTGAGCTGAAGCGAAACTTTCGGCTCCAGATAAATCACCATCGACGCCCTTTTGAGATTTAGGCGCTCCACTGCCGGGATGAAAGAGTACTGATCGTTCGTCCAGAAATAGTAATTCTGAACGCTCCTGAAGTTCAAGAGCGGCCTCCAACAGTAGCTGTAAATCCCGACAGAACGCTGCCTCCTCAGGTCCGAGCACCGCCAAAGGACCACCCTTATCATTAGATCGATATGCTGCGAGCGCGTCCTCCCAGTAATTAATACTCGTTTCTAAAGCTTCCATGCCTGAAACAAAGGGTAAGATTTACAAAAGGATTCGTGGATTCGTCATTCATGTGCAAGAAAAAATTGCGCATGCCATAAGGTGAAGACGAATACATTAAGAGGTTGATGTCGCGGACATGCCGGTGATTCATCGCTTTATTCAATAAAAATTATGCACCGAGATAATGCTGTGGGTTGGAGGCTGTAATTATAAATAAAAATCACAATTGAAGAGTTTATGTACACATAATGCAACGAAATTTGCGAAGTATGCGCGTAGGCGTTAAGGGTTAAGTAAAGGCAATTTTCCGCTTTTCTGTTTTCCCCATTCCGATATGGAAATTTAAATTAATCGTATGGAAAAACATCAATAAAAATATGTTAGATAGGTAGGTACTTACAAATTGCTACGTATTTTACGGTTCCTCTTCAAATGTAATGGTTTATAGAAACTTATAGTGCACAGGGTGGGCAACAATACATTTGGAATTTATATTGCCATTCATTATATCTGGGCAGATACCAGATTCATTACCGATTCTACACAACGCCGCTTAGCGATATACGGTATTTTATTATGGAAGCTTATTCAACGATGTACAGTAATTTAGATAGACTCTTGTTTCCAAATTCTCCCTCGGGAGTGGAAAATCCTGACCTTAGAATTTAAAGTAGGGACCATTTTTGTGAAACTAGATGGTAAACTACTCACTAAAACTACGATAGCCAAGTACAATTACACAACTACAGGGTCCTGCAATGAATAGTGCGTCGGTCTTTCCTAGCTCATACTTCGAAAAAAATATTGAAAAATCTTATGCGAAAACGTCAACTACAGATGGTTGCCTATCTATAGCAATTAATAATAATAATAATTCACTTTTTGATTTCTTCTAAAAAATAAAGAAGACAACAGTTATTTTTATAAAAACACAAACTATTAAAAAAAATTTAACAAAAACTGGGGGCGTTTTTAGATATCAAGGGTGCGTTTAACAACACCACGTTCGATTCAATTAGTGAGACTGCTGAAACCTTTGGTATTGATGGGTCAATCGTAAAATTGATCCGAGCCCTGCTCGGAAGCAGTCATCATATCTTCAATTGGGATGAAGGAGATGAGCTTATCGGTCACTAGAGGGTGTCCGCAGGGTGGGGTACATTATAAATTTCGAGGCAAAAATGTATGGTTGATTCCCAAAGGAAATACTAAATGTTTAGTATCACTGGTTTTGTAATTTTTTTCTCTATCGAGTGACGTAAAAATCCAATATGGATTCCATTTAAAATATAGAAGTTGAGTTGATGTCAACATCTCGGAAACTGCCATTTAAAAAATTTTTTTTCTACGTTCATTGAATTTATCCCATCCAATCTTGAAACTTTTATTTGAAACTTTTTTCGATAGCTCTATTTGTTACTAAAATTTGAACCTTTTAAAAATAGCGATTTTCACTTTTTTTGAATTATCTACGAAACGATTTATTTTTTTGTAAATATCGCATCGAATCTGTAAGTATAATAACAAAGATAGCCGTGTTATCCTACTCAATTTAAGACACCCTGTATTGGCATTTAATGCAGATATTTGTACGAACATTTTAATAAGACAATAAACTACTTTTATAAGTAATGAATGGCATGAATGCATAATCCGAAGAAATAGAGGATCCTATTATTTCGAATGCAGAATCAGCCAATACAATCAAGTACACGTGTGTAATGTTGGTTGCATAATAAGCCATGCGCATATTTCACGAACTCTGAATTTAATCATTTTCATCTTTTGCAATCTGCAAAACCACAGATTTTCTGTGACAAAACTAAACACATTAAAACTGAAAAATAAAATGAAAACGAAAAAGAGAATCTTGGGTTTTGCTCATAAAGATTTGCAGGTAAACGTTTATGTTCAATTAATCGGTCAACCTACACGCAACCATTGGCAACGTAGTACAATAATTGATAAACTACTATCTCGTTATGCAATTGATTTAAATCGGCGCACACAAACTGCAATCTACAAACCATAAAGCAATTTTAGGTTTAATACATGTCAACATAAAGTGCTTGAATGGAATCAACAGCCAAACTAAAATTTTCATATTTGCGCCTTATTTACGAAGAAGCACTTCAGTAAATAAGCAAACCGCGCGAGTAATATTGCAGACAAGCCGGATAGATATCAGTTATTTTAATGAAAATTACTACTTGGTTACTTGAAGCAATTGCCCACTTCCTTAATAATCATTAACGACAGGAGAAGTAAGTAGACTAACAACCAATCAATAGTTCCAAACGCACTTATAGAACTTGTCCTGAGTTTTTTTTATGAATCCAAGCCGCGTTACTCCATTTGAAAAATAAGAAATGTGCCGAGGAAAATTTGTAAATCAGCATATGCATGATGAAAGCGCATTTTTGGTAATACTTAATACAGATTAGCACTATAGCAGAAAGCTTTTAGTGAAAATTTGAGTCTTTTTTTTAAAAGTGTGCTAAAAATATGTACCTAATGGTCTTTTTGAAATTTCGAATAAAATTACGACTGCAATTCTTGGCACTTGGCCCGCCAATGAAAGAATAAAATAGTCAAACCAGTCAAACTGAGTAAGATAGGAAACTAGCAAGAGCGTAAGTGCAAACTAGGTTCGAAAGTAATTTGAAATGTGAAAGGCTAATACACACTGTAACCGATAAATTTTCGAATTTAAAAAAATATACTGTGGGTAGAACAGATACCACCCTCACACCTACGCATGCGCATCTGCCAAAAAGCTTTTCAGTTCTTTAGTTTAAGAATATGTTTACCAAATTTGATTCTAATTGATTCAGCCGTAGACACAGACCGACATCATCGAGATTTCGGTTGATTACGGTTCCTGGTGCCAATTAGAGCGTGTATTAGTAACGTGCGAAAGGAAAAAATGAACGCATTAAGGCCGACGCGCACTATGGCGCGGCGCAGCGAAGCGCCTTTTTGTCTAACATTGCTCTCATACTCCGATACGCTGCGTCGCACTTCGCCTATTTAAATCAATGTGAGCGAAAAAGGCGCTACGCTGCGCCGCGCTCCGCCGCGCCATAGTGCGCGTCGGCCTTTATGCACTTGTTAATTGCGTCGTATTCTACATTTCTGGCTTGGCTCTAGAATACAGTTTTGCGATTTCAATCAAAGACGTAGGTAGTTGTAGACCACCGTCACATTTTAGTTCGTCAAAATGTCACCAGGGAATTTATGGCGCCTGCGCGCTTTTATTTCGTGAAGTTTCCACCGGGGCATCTAAAAACGATCTAAAAAGCGACGGTGGCGCCATAAAGCCCCTGGCGATGGTTATTTTAATACTAAAAATACTCATAAATGAATTATGAAAAAATCCCGCATATTTCCTACAAGAAATGAAAACAGAAGATTTGGACTCTTAATTGCAATTGTTATTCAGGGTGATTTATATCAAAGTTGCATTTTTTTCAAATTGTTTTCTAAGTTTTATGATAGGTACCTAACTGCGATATTCAATTTTTATTGGACATCTACTTTTTGACGACTAATTTTAGATATCACGTGTAATACATAAAATCACGCTAGAATTGGCCAAGGAATCGAAATATGCAATAATATACAGGGGGTCGTACTAAAAAATTCAAATTTGATATAAAACACCTTGTATAATAATTGCCATTTCGTTGAAAATCTTTTAAGTTGTATAGCCTTAAGCGTCCTTTAACATGTCCCGACGATGAATTTTAAATATGAGCGTTAATAAACCCACAATCTTCCACTCACGCACTAATGGCGCACCCTGTATAGTTGAGAACATTTGTTGCTGGAATTTTGGGAGTTCTGAACTCTGTATCGGGTCACACACAATTTATACCATTGAGTAATAATCACTCAACGGTTATACAACTTTTTCATTATAAGGTTTTGCTGTAAAATGTCAATATTGGGAGTTTTTCTTGCAGAATATTTGACGAAGAAATAAGATTTATCAACCACTCTAATCTAAAACGCATGGAAGGCCTCCAGAACTCTAATTATAATTGCATAATTTTATAAATGACAGGCTTCACATGCGCCCATTTAAAACAAATGAAATCGTGCTGTGTGCCAATATTTAGATGCCACTATATAATAGAATAGTACATTATATATCAAGGTTGAGAAGTACAGTATTATTGCCTGAGCACCAAGATTACATTACATCTCGAGGCGCTTGCGCCGGGGCGAGGGGAGTAAGGTGGCGAAGGCAATAATAGACTTCTCTACCATGGTATATATACTATTTTTTTCACTACTTCACTTGAAATCCTCTAAATTAACATATTATATTGATAAGAAAATGAACGCGGTTGGACAGAATTTTTTGTTTATTAATTTAACATCTCAATCAAGTGCGTAGAAGTACAAGTCAAACAGGCCGTATTTTGTTTTCTCATTGAGATATTTTCAAAGACTAATTTCGTTCGAATTTTTTCAAAATGTGATAATTTTAGGTATGTAATTTCTCTGGAAATGGCGGATGGTGGCAATTCATTTTAGAGAACTTGTCCAAACGTTTATTGAACGAAATTTCGGGTTGTGTTCTAAAAGTGACAGCGTGACAGTTCTCATTATTGACTACTAGTTAATAATGTCCACATTATTAACCACTTTGAACAAATGCCGAGAGAGCCTACTTTACAAGTGGAAAAAATGTTAATATAATCATGTCATCAGACGCTAGTAGTGAAAAAAATACATATCTGCTATATCTGCTTAATTTTATGTGTTACTGAATGGTCAATTATTGTTATTCGTAGGTAGTTCCTTGTAGTCTAGTTTTGTAGTAAATAAAATTGTCAAAAATAAGAGAGCTTCGATGCTATAAATCTTTTGTTGTATCACTTTGAAAAACTGTTCTACACAATCCTAGATTTACATTTTAAATAACATATAAAATGCCAAAAAAAACAAGAACAGAAAAAGTTAAAGAATTCTACGACAGAACTCTTGCAAGCAGCTAAAATGCACTCCCGTAAGTGTCGTTAAATTTATCAAATATTCATTCCATCTTTCTCTTGGTAATATAATATCCTCGATCATAGAATGTGGTTCATTATTTACAAAGTATCAGTAACAAAAACGAACGCTTCTTCATTTTATGCAAAACAGGTAAACGAACTAATTAAGCCCGTTAATGAATTGACACACAACACTAAGTGGCAATAATTACACACAATTAAACCGACAAAAAAATGACACAAGTTTTTTGTATGAATGTGACGTGATTCAATTCAAATCATCATCGACCGGAGTTGGCGCTATGACGTTAACTCTGGGCTCCAATCCTGCGCGCTTATTACGCCCCACTTCAAATTCCGCACGTAAAACCGGCAAAACGCACGGGAAAATTTCATTCCATATATTGCATTCGAACAGTTCTCGATTGAGAAGACACAATTCAATTAACGGTCGCTTTGTGTTTTGAGTGTGCGTGTTTTTTTTTAAGTTTTTTGTGCCAGCTTTGGATTTGCTTTGAAATATTAAATTGGATATCTTACCCCTTCGGTTCGTTTGTAATTAGAAAAGGTAGGGCAAACTGGTTTTTTGAATTTAATGGTTTGTATAAAAAAATATATAAATAATTACGTGAAAGATGGTCTTTGATGTCGACAATGTATAACTGTTAATTTTTTATCTTAATTGCAAATTGTAAACGTAAGATGAATCGTGATGAATTTAGATGTCTTCGGTCTCAGATAATTAAGCGCGATCGCAATGAATCGATCTTTATTTGTCCTAAAGGCACCAAAGCTCATTATTTAATTGTAACCGAAATACCTACACAACCAGCAATAATAATAACATTGCGTAATTCTACATACAGGTGGGAATGTACTGAAAATTTGCATAAGCAGTTGCGCTACTGTCACGCATATTTCTCATTTGTGCAGCACCGTTCCATCAGAAGACAAATGGAGGGTGGCGACCCGTGAAATTTAAAAACTTAAATGCTGTCAATACTCTTCAAAGTCAAATTTTTGTGTGGGCTATCAACGTACGGCAAACGTTTTCAAAACCATCTTTATCTACACTGCATTCTCAGATGTCAGGAGCATGTTTCTATAATTTCGGGATTGGGTTTTTCGGAAATTTGGATTTTTATACCGAATGAATGCTGACTTTCAAACATCAATTCCTGTCAGATTTTCTTTTCTTTTATCGTTAAACTCGCCGGTCCTACCTATATGGATTGTGAGAAAGTGAAAAATGGCACTGCATCACGAACGAAAGGAAAGAATTTATTTGTAGCAACGTTTTGAACATGCAATGCAAGGACTAGGAATTATTTCAACACAATTCCCCCATTCAATTTTCTGTAATCGTAATATGTGCTGTTTTTTTTTTGAAAATCTGAAATTGATACAATTTTTGCAATTTAATTTGATCACGAGTCACGACATTTACTCACTCGAAATTTAAATTAACACAACATTTTTGTATGCGCCCTTCTTTGTTATTTTAATGTTTTGTAGGCGGCCACCACAAACATGTTAATATTTCAGTTATTTTTGAATATGAAAATTGTGGCAGACAACAGTTGGTAATCAGGGGCCCGGAAATCAAATATTTCAAGGGCTTGTGCAGACCAACAGGAAGTCTGCAGGCAAGCTACATCTATTTCATATGGAGATACCTACTTACTGGTTTTTCCGGGTTTTTCACTTACGAAAAATAGTCCCATATTGGTGTTTCAGTATTTGAAAAAATCTGCATGAAAATCAGCCTCTAAAAGAAATTTCATTTACGCGAAATACTTTTTGGCTAATCCTTTCACTTTAGAAAACACTATACGATAAAATCCGACCGCTATTAGGTAAAAAATATGCAAATTTAATTTTGAAACTTTTTTTCTTTACTCGTTTCTTTATAGTAGTTATATATCATCATTATTTTGCATAGTTTTTTTCAAGAGCAGGTCTGTTGATGACCAACACGTTATCCTAATGGACATACTCGTTGAAAATCCCTCGGAAAACCCATATCTATTAGATGCTAGCGCTAGCCGTCGTCGTCGTCGTCGTCGTTTGTCTAATCGTTGTACATATAACAATGTACATGTAGAGAGGTCAGTGTCGGTGTGCTCTCCTTATCTACTCACCAATGCCTTAATTGAAAAGTGGATGGCTTGGCGTTTTGGGGTCAGTTATATCAAAATACTTCTAGAACCACCTCAATCCGGATAATTTTAGGCGCATTGCTCCAGGACCTGAAGTTAGTTTCTATCAAGTTCTGTCCCATCCCCCAACCCTGTTACAAGATCGGTTGTGCTCGTCCACCATATTGGAATATACACTGTGTCCAAGATAGGGTGTCTATCATGGGGATCTTCGAAACCATAAATGATACGAAGATGGTCAAATTAGGGAAACGTTGCGCAATTAAAAAGTTTATTATCATGTTGTAAAGAAAATCGGAAAATTCCGATTACTTCCGAAGATATACCAGAAAAACCGAAATTTGCTGATTTCGTTTTTTTTTTGTTATTCGAATAGAAACAAAAAAATAAACACTTTCATTGACACTATTTGAACTCGACAAGACACATTCGAGAGATTTTCGTTTCGGAGAAATCATCAAGATTTTTTTTTATATGGCTCGTAAAAAATGTACATATTGTATTGAGTAGCATTTTATATACAACGATATACGACACACACAAACAAAAGTTGACAACTGTTGGTTTCAACAAGATGGTGCACCCGCGTACTACGCCCTAATAGTAAAAGAATACCTATCGGAGCAGTGTTCCATTTCCCAGGAAATTTGTCCGATAGGAATTCTCACACGATTAAGGCATTGTGCGCGGGTGCACCGTCCTGTTGAAAGCAAAAAGTTTTTTGTGTGTGTGCCGTATAAACTATTTAATACAATATGGACTTTTTTTATGGACCATATACAAAAAAAGTTGATTTCTCCGAAACGAAACGTTGTATTGAAAATCTCCCAACGGTGTCCTGTAGAGCCCAAAAAGTAGCAATGGGAATGTGTTTTTTTTTCTGTATCTACTCAAATAATGTCGAAAAAAATAAAAACGAAATCGGAAAATTTCGGATTTTCTGCCATTTTCTTTACAGCATGATAAGAACTGTTTAATTGGGCAACTTTTCTCTAATTTGGCCATCGTCGTAAGATCCCCATGGTAGGCGTCCTTATCTTGAACACAGTGTATATTAATCGCCCATTTTGTTTGGAAATAAGATCAAACGTATCATTACGGGAACCAACAGTTAAACATTCATGCTTTACAATGTGGACTAGGAGATTAGGAGGACGAGGAGGTAAGTACAAATGTTTCTATCTATCCCTATATCTCTATCGAGATCTGTTCTTGAGAACGGAAGGGAGTCCGATACAAAGGGAGGCTGGAATGTTTTAACGAGCGGATCGAAATTTCAAGTGCGAATATCTCAACAACGTAGTAGCAGAATATGTCGTGAAAACTCTATAGTTATCGCAAGTTACATTACATCTCGCATTACATTGTCTCTGAAATTTTTTAGTGCTCTTGGAGTGCTAAAATACTCGCCTAGGGATAACTAATTTTAAAGGAACATTTGCAATTTTCTGATTTACGATTTGCTGGAATATTTTGTTCTGAACGTTTAGCGTCAATTGTTTTTAAGGGCTTCGAAACAGTGAAATGAGTAAAGTTCACCACCTAACTTCATTTTTTAAATGGAACATTCCGTATATAGTGTTTTAATCTAAAAATATAGCACATTAAATTCTCTTTTCAAGTAGGGATGATAGTTAAAACCGAGGTTAAAACAGATTCAAATGATTGAAAAAGGTTAAAAAATTTTTTAAAAAAGATTTAAGTGACAATGCAACATATTTCAAAATTGTTTAGTGATATATTTTTTAAAATAGAAATTAATATGCTATTTTTTAGATTAAAAAATATATAGGGTTTTCCGTTTAAAAAATGAGGTTAGATCGAGGGTTAGATCCGATTACTTTTCTACCTGACCCCGTACACTTATTTTGATTTATTGAAAACTGCAAATTATTCAACATCATCATAAAGAAACTTTTGTAATAAACGTTTTTCTGTATCTTTTACGTATGAAAATATAGAGTCATTGACTCGACAATTTTTTGATTTTTTGATTTTACCAAGCACATGATGCCCATATTACTTTTTTGGTAACATTAAGAACTACGGAGTGTCGAAAATGATTGTAAAAAAAATTAAAAAAGATTCAAATGATTCAAAATTTTTTGAATTTTTTTACAAATCCTTTTTCAACCATTTTGAATTAATACTGAATGTTTAAAATTTTTGTTGTTGTTATATTTTTGAAGATGGTATTTAATATGACATCGTTTAAAATTAAAATGAGCGTTCCCTTTAAAAGTTAGTTCCGACAACTCTTTTACTTGACCTCGTATACTTATTTTGAAAACTGCAGATTTAACATAATTATAAAGAAACTTTTTAATAAACTTGTGTACTAAGAAAATATAGGATCATTCTAAAATAAAAATTTCTTATCTCATAAGCGAGGAATATTTTCACATTTTGATTTTGCCGCTTGAAGTTTGGCCACAAAAGAGCACATGGTGTCCACATCATCTTTTGGAACATTGAACATGCGCGAAGCAGCTTAACAAGGTTTAAAAGGGTGTCGATCCTCAATGAGAGGTAGATACAAAAATATAATCCCCCGGGATGATATTCAAAAAAGATTCAAGTGATTGAAAAAGGTTTAAAAACATCTTAAAAAAAGATTCACTGGATTCAAAACAATACACAACATTTTTAGTGTTATATTTTTGAAAAGAGAATTTAATATGCCCTCCCTTTTTAGATTAAAATATGCAGGGTGTCCCATTTAAAAAAATGAGGTTAGGTCAGATTACTTTTGTACCTGACTCCGTATACTTAATTTGATTTTTTGAACACTGCAGATTATGCAAAATCATTATAAAGAAACTTTTTCAATATCATTTTTTTGTATTTCTTTTACCTAAGAAAATACAGGGTCAGTCAGAAACTGAATCCCCCCCAATTCGCAAGCGAGTCAATATTTCCAAATTTTGTTTTCGATTAACAGACTTCCGAAATGTATCGCTAATTTTTGTTTCTTGCAATTCAGAAGAGGGACGATCGCCACAAACCTTTTATCGAAAGATGAGGTCGAATATCGTCCACTGAAAAATTCACGGTCTTTAAAGCGAACGAAGGCAGTATATAAAAATGATGAGAGAAAAATAGTATCGATACCCATCAATCGAATAAATGGACCAGATAACAAAGGGGGAGTTTTTTTGTACCGAAAGGTTCACACAGCGACTTCCTGCCGTCATTAAACCACTGCCTCGAGCGAGACATTTTCTAAATTCTCTCGAAACAGGCAAATGTTTACTTCCGTAAAATGCGAGTCGAGATAAAACCGATTAAGTCGGTAATGAAAACGTCAACGCGCAATCGAGTGGAAAAGATACTATTACATAATGTCTTTAAAGATTAATGATACCGCAACTGCAAGACATGAAAGGTTAATCAATAAATTCTTATTGGA